TCCCATCATTAATTTATTGATATTTGTTACTTCATCAGATCCAGATTTAATCAAATTTGAAATTATTTCTTTACTTTTAGGTGAAATTGTTTAATTTGATGCTTTTTGAATTAATTGTTTTCTTTTATCTATCGCTACATCTTTAGCAGCCGATATTGCAGTAGTAGCAAGTTCTTTTCCTGCTGACTTTGCAGCAGTTATTGCAGTTTTTCCTAAGTCACTAGCAGCTAATCTATTTAGCATAGCAGATGATACTTTTGTTACATTTGACGCTGCTACTCATTTAAATAATTTTTTAATGCTATCAAATATTCCACCTCCACCAATAACATGTTTCTTCATATATCTCTTGTTCTTTTTGTTCTTGTACAATTAACATTTTATTTACTATACATATTTTTTTAATTTATTTTTATCTCAATCCTTCGGATCTCCATAAATCTCCATAAAAAAAATTCTGTATTGCTTTATACTCTTCAGCATTGATTACACATTGTTGTTTTAATTCATCACAAATTGCAACAGTTTCATTTCTAGCACCAGTATTCCCTGCTTTCCACGCAGCTATACGTAATGTAAGCATTTCAGTTAGTGCATCTGGATCACTAGGAAGAATTAGTACTCCTTTTCCAGATTTTCCAGTTATCTCTTCCCAAATAGGCTTTATTATCTCTTTATATTTTTCACTTCTAGATGATCTAGATTTTCCTGGGTATTTACTAGAAGAAATAGCATCTGTTTCTTTCATTATGTTTTTATAATCTTCAAGATCGTCTTTATTATATATATTTTTATCAGGAATAGCTTTTGTTATCAATTCCCAAAGACCAGTAGTTCCAATATATTTTTTGTCATCGATAATTATATCATTATTATCAATTAATATTGTTTTATCTTCTAACTTAGATAAGTTTTCTTTTATACCAGTTTGACTATCTAGCAATGGCTTATACAACTTTGTCAAGTCTGTCTGTAAACTAGATTCACCTATCTTATCATCTAAAGAATCTTGATATAATTTCTTCTTTAAATTTAGAAATTCATTAACTATTTTTTCTCTTTTTTCAGGATTTAGAATCTTTTAAAAATGACATTTTTATATATGCAACATTTTTTTAAATTACTATTTGTTGTTTGAATGTAAAATTTTGTTTGTTTGAACGTGTTTACGTTTGTTGTTGAACGTGTTTCTATTACCATTTAACGAGAAGTCTCCTTCACTTACCGTATTTGTTAATCGTGTTTTGATTCTTATTAAATATATTATCATCTATAATATCATCAACAGACTCTGCTATTACAGAATTTAGTAAATTTAACTTAGTTTAAGGTTTTCTTTTAATGCAACTAATGCATAACCTTTTCTAATTGCTACTCCGCACTTTAGAGCAATAAGTTGCTGTGATCTTGTTTTTATTTCAAAATCCTGCTGTGCAAATGTTTCACATCTTCCATTCTTAAATACTGAAGGATGTATTAAATATTCATGTAACTTAAAAGTTACTAGAGGTTCATCATTTTTAGTATTATTAATAAGTTTATGTACTGAAAAGCCATTTTCAACATTAACTGGAGTTTTTCTTCCACCTCGTCTTATCTTTTTATCATATTCTTTAATCATTTTTTCACAAAAGTTTTCAATAGATTTAATCACTTCAATAATTTTTCTTGATTAAGAGTTTTACCTACTTTTTCATCAAAACAAACAAAACATTGAATACCCTGTAATTTTTTTAGTTTTTATATCTTTATTTTCACAAATACCATAAGAAAAACATGGTAATGTCTTTATATATAATGGTCCTTCTCCTATCGGATATTTATAAGCAAGTTTAATTTTTTGGTGAGGAACAGGTTTGTTAAATTGAACTAATTCTTTTACAGTTAAATTATTTACATCAAAATTTTCAATCGTTACATACGACATTTTATATAGAAAAGATTTTTTTTATATCATTTTATTTTTTCTATTTTTTATTGTATTTTTATTGTAATGTAAAATCATATAAAACAATCTTGCATATATATATAAAATGCATATATTGATTAATGAAACAAGTACAGATATAACAACTAAGTTTAATCCAGTTATCAAACTTAGAGATGATCATGATTATGAAATGGCTTTAGTTGAATTAAAAGCCTATTTTAGATTACTAAATATTAATTCTTCAAACAATAATTTTAGATATAGTTCAAATAATGGAATCGATTGGAGAGATATAACTATTCCAGAAGGAAACTATGATATTAATAACATAAATACTTATATAAAAAACCGAAGAATTTTTCATAATAAAGATTATGAACATTATATTGATATTCATTCAAATTCTCCAATTACATACTTATTAAATATTTATAGTAAATGTAAAGTTGATTTTACAACTCCAAATTCAATTAGAACTATTTTAGGTTATAACAGTCAAGTATACTCGTCAGGCAAACATGCATCAGAAAGTATTATAAATATATTACATATTAACACTATACGTGTAACAAATAGTATTATAGGAGGGTCATATGTAAATGATACAACTGGAAATGCTGCAGTCAATAAAATGGCTGGAAACGATATTGTTTACTTGGGCAAGGAGTTAAAGTCAGAGCTGCAGGATCTGGTTTGTTTCTAAGTCCATGGAATAAAGAAAGTTCTGTAGGTGATGGAATGTACTTATGTAGTGGAAATGGATATACATCAACAGGTGCTGGTTTATTATTAGGACCAAACTCGCCATTTGCTAATATTCCATTTTTAAACATGATTTTTTAGATTTTTGATGAAAATTAAGATTTAATTTAGATCTATATAAAATATATATTTCTATCAAATATATATTTCATGAAAATTCACAAGTTGGTATATAAAAACAATTTAATCCACTTCTATATTTTCCATAACTTCTTTTTCAAGATAGATCGATAACAACAAATCCATGTGGTTCTGACCAAGCTTTCCTACAAAAATTTTTAAACTCATCTTTTGACATATCACTTGAAACATGATCTTCATAAATATGATTTACATTTTTTTTACATGATTTACATTGATTCTTGTTTAAACAAGCATATAAAATTTGCATTTTCTCTTATAGTTTGCCTTGATAGCATAAAATAATTTTGTGCAAGGTAGAAACAATCTACATTACTGTGCCTTCCTCTTATATAGTACTTTTTACACTTGTTTTGCTTTGTTAATTGTAAATCATCAAATATCATTAAATTATTCTTATTAACATCTAGTTCTTCAGGATCTGGGACATCATCAGCTGTTTCAAAAAACTTACACTCCATAACTGTTTTATTATTTAAATTTTTTGAAATGTCTTCAATTATAAGCTCAGGGCTAGCATTCAATTTTTCTATTTTATCTTGTAACTTAAAAAGTTCAAGAATAACTTCTTTTGGTAATTTTTTTTCAAAAGAATTTTTTAATATTTTGTATTCTGGTTAAAAAAGAGATTTTCCAAAAATTTGCAAATTATTATAGTCTAACCAACCAGGCCTCAGAAGTAAGTTTAGTAATAAAGTTTTTCCACAACCTGATTTTCCTACAATAATTCCTCTTATACTTTTAGGTAATAACTTGTTATTATTACGATTACTTTTTTTTACATTCCATGATAAATCTATAATATCCATTTTTATTTATAAAAAGTTTTTTTAATATATTTTATCTTACATAAAATGTACTGCGTTAAATGTAGAAACAAAACAGATACACTAAACTTACAAAATGTTGTAAGTAAAAATAATAGAAATATGCTACGTGGTAAATGTGCTATTTGTAGTCCAACAAAAACTCAATTTGTATCAGCAAAGAAAGGAGATGATTTAGTTAATTCAATCAATTCAGTAACAAGTAAAATAAAATTACCATGGTCAAAGTTTCCTGGTGAAATGCATTTACCTGGTATGAACTTTGCAGGACCTGGCACTAATTTAGAGGAAAGATTAACTTCTACTGATACACCTAAAGAATGGAGTAAGCCTGTAGATAGAGTTGATAAAGCAGCTTATATTCATGACCTTGCTTATAAATATAATCAAGGTACTCCAACTAGAAATATAGCTGATGAAATAATGCTTAAACAAATGGATGCCATACCAAATCCTACACCACGTGGATCCATTGAAAAATAAAACTGGAATTGAAGTTGCTCATGCTTTTACTAAATATTTAAAGAGAGAAAATGTATGAAATTATGGATAGATAAAGGCTTGGAATTTTATAACAAGCATGTTAAGGCATTAGGTGTGCAGCTCTACTCGACTGAAAATGAAGAGAAAAGTTGTGTAGTTGAACGTTGGAATAGAACAATGAAAGAAAAAATGTTCAAATACTTTTCAGCTAACTCTACTAGAAAATACATTGACGTTTTAGATGAAATGGTAAATCAATAAAATGCATTCTTCAATTAAAATGACTCCAGCTGAAGCAAGCAATAAAAAGAATGAGAAAATTGTTTGGCTGAATCTGAATGATAAAGTTATATCAAAGTCTCCTAAACCCAAGTTTTCAATAGGCGATAAAGTCAGAATAACTAAAAAGAAAGGAGTGTTTGAAAAAGGATACACACCAAGATGGACTGAAGAAGTATTCACAGTATCACAAGTTCAGCACACAAATCCACCAACTTATAAAATAACTTATCATAATAGTTAAGAAATACAAGGTACTTTTTATGAACAAGAACTGCAAAAAACAAATCAAGAGGTATTTAGAATCAAAAAAGTTTATTCGTAAACAAGGTAATAAATCATTAGTAAAGTGGTATGGATATCCTGATACTTTTAACTCATGGGTTGATAATAAAGAATTGATAAATTTATAAATAATTATCTTGTATATAAAAAAATGCAAAACTCAAATGTTAAGGTAAACGTATGCGTAACAGCTACTTCTGGTAATGTAAATACAAATACCACTCTAACGACTACTTCATCTTATAGCAAATGACGCATGCGCACTGATGACGTCATTTTCAATAAGGAACGAAATTATCGCTAATTTAAATTTAAAAAATTGATTTGAAAATTTATTTCTTGATTATACAATTTATACACACTATGGATTAAAATAAGCCATACATTTAATTAAATATATGGTTGAAAATATAGTTGAAAATGTAAATGAGCCAGAACTCGCACTTTCTATCTACTTGCATTTTCATTATTTAACTTTATCTGTTTCTGCATGCTCTAAAAACTTTTTTTTTTTTCTCACATTTCAATTCTTTGGAACTCTCTCCCATTCTTATGTTTTCCTAACTCATAACTCCTACAAAATTATATTTTCTTTTTTCTACCACGTCAAAATTGAAACTTAGCTGGGATGAACCTTTGGAAAAAAATGGTGTAATTATAGGGTATGAAGTCTCTGTTGAAGGTATAATGGCATTTCTTTCTTTTTATGTTCGAACTTTTTTTTTCCTTTGATAAATATAAATAATAATATAAATATTGAAGCTAAAAAAAGAAAAAATCAATATTTCCATGATTTTGCATTATTAGTATTAATATTTTTTTTATATTTTGTTTGTATATTTTTATTTATGTATATTTTGTCATGATAAATATATTAAGAAAAAGATAAACTAGATAAATTTTTTGATTATAAAGGAACAATAACAACGAAATAAAAGCTTGAGCAGCGAGTAGTATTTGTACAAGAGAGTAAGAAATGCAATCTATTAACTACGGACAAATACTAGGCGTTTAGAAAAATACTTGGCAGGGTTATCCAACTATATTTTCAATGTGTTTTAGACCTTATTTTTAAAAGAAAGGACGTTATTAGAAGTACTTGTCTAAATATGACATCAATGTTCCACACAAAGATGAATAAAAGATTGATAGATGTAGAGAATGGAATCAGAAGTGTTAAAACGACAAGCAAGGTAAATGATGAACTATAGCAGAGATCAACTTGATTGAGTGCAATGATTGAGTGTTTCCATGAGAGGTCAGTAGTAAAAGAAATTTAGAGAAGGTATTAAGTAAAAAACTCAAAATAAGCGTCTCACTTACTCAATAAAAAAGTGTAAATGAAAAAAAGAGTGAGTGAAAAGAAGAGTGACTGAGTGAGTGAGTCAATAAAAAGTATAAGAAAATTAAAATAATTTTTTGCAGTAACTGCTCCTATCTGTCAAAGAAGAAAGATCTTCTTCATGATGATTTTATGAAAGAATCATGAAAGAAATCTCATGAAGGAAATCTCAATGAATAAAGGAAACATTTTGTTACATCATGAAAAAAATGAAACATGAAGAAAATCTCAATGAATAAATGAAAAAAAATTTGAAATTTGAATAAGTGTGTTGTTTATCACACACTTATTTATTTTAAATTTTTAAATAACAATTTATTTCAAGTTTTTATTAAGCAACTTAAATACTGTGGTTAGAAAGGAATGATTCAATAATTTTAGAGTTTTTCTGAGATGTATCTTATGAAGATAGTTTATTGAGAAAACCAGCATCAAAAGCCTTTATCAAGATATATGATAAATATCAAAAGAAACATATCAAGATTTCAATCAACCATATCAAGAGAGCAACCAAAAGGCAACAGCCTTGCCTCACTTTTCATTATCTTGCCTCACTGCCTTCTACCTAATCTTTTTATTTTATTTTTACTATGGTTACAAAGAGTCAGCAGTAAAACAAGAAAATTAAAACTATTCATTTATTTCTCAATTCAGATAGCAAATAATTAGTTAATAAATAACTAATATTCAGGTTTAAATTTAATTTAGAAATTGAATTTTTAGACTCAAGATGAATTTTTAGAAGGGTTTTACTAATAACAGTTTAATATTTAATAATGATTGTAACTAGGCAACAGTTAGAGGAGACGGAGCCATCACCAACAAACATCTCAAACAACACTTTTAACTTCCAACAAGGCTGAAAGCAACCACTAATAAGTTGGGAGTTACAAGAAAAAAAAAATAGAGTTATATAGCAAGTAAAATAAAATAAAAAGTGTTGACAGAAGGTTTTAAAAGTTGAAACTGAAAAAATAGTAGAGTTATATAGCAAGCAGGTTGACAGAAGACTTGAAAAGTTGAAGGTTGTATGAGTCAGAAAACATGAAGATGGGAGAGAGTTAAAGTGCAGAAAAAAACAAGACAAATAAAAGTTTTTAGAGCATGCAGGGGCTGATACAGTAAAAAGATAAGGCTTTGCTGAATTATGAGTCAAACAAAAATAAGTTTTAGTTGATGGAGCTTAAGATGATAACTCCTAGTATTTGTAAGAAAGAGATGCAACTTTATGATCATGGAAAAGAGGCTCAAGCTTAGCAGATAGAGCATTTCCAACATCATTAACAATGCAGTTTATGAAGTTGAAAATGAGAAATTTGTGAACTTTGTCAAGTTTTGTTAGAAATTAAATTAAATTTAAAATTTACAAGCCACTACAAACAGTTTGTTACTGAACTGAGATATGATTTATGATCAATTGCCTGTTCTTAGACATTGAAAGGAGAAGACTTTTTGTCAAGGCTGGAGTATAAAGTTAAATCATCACCAAATATAGCCACTTTAGATTTAAGGTTGTCAGGATGACAATGATGATAAGATAAAAAACAAGGATCAAACTTTGACCTACCATTGAAGTTACTGGAAATAAAATCAAGGATTACTATAATTAAACGAATAAAAAAAAATGATTTGATAGTTTCAAAATCTTTTCCAGATACGCCATATGAAGCAAGCTTGTACAGAAGACCTGCACGCCAAACCTTACTGAAAGCTTTAGTTATATCAAGAACAATGGGCTGTTGCCTTGCCTAGCTGCCTCCATATAATACACAATAGAATCTTTTAATCACAGCAGTTAGCAAGTTAGCTATAGTGGGAGAAGATTCAAAACCGTATCGATTGACTGACAGTAAGTTAGTTGACTCAAAATGGGATTAGAATGATCAATAACTCAAAGACCTTGCTAACAACAGATAGAAGACTGACTGGACAATAGTTAGAGAGGTCATGATGTTTTTCAGAAATTTTAAAATTTTCATATGCCACCGAGTGAAGATCACATAGATTAATTTCTAGTTTTTAACAAAATTTGTAAAGAATTTTTAAAATATATATACAATCAGGGTTGCTACTGGTCATGGAAATCATAGAAATGTTACGGAATTTCATTCAGGTCTTGAAACTTTTTAAAATAATATTTTTCTACTAATGATATTTTTAAAATAATTGTAAAAAAGAATTCACACTTTGACAAAAAGTGTGCTTTTTTGGATTGCTTGGAATAGGCAGCCAGATTTTAATCTGTTCTTCCATCTGTAACAGCCTGAGGCTTGCAGTTTCTTTTTGATTTTAACTTCAAAAATTTCCTAGGGAGAAAACAAATAAAAAAATTGCATTCACAAAATTTGTTATAAATAACTAATTGGTAGGTGTAGTGTTATTGACAGACAACAGTCTCCCATTATTACTTCAAATGTTTTACCTTTAAAGGAAAGTTAGTGAGGGCTTACCACTTCAAATGTTGTACTTTTAAGGACAATAAAAGAGTCTTATCCTAATCCTTAAATGCTTTTTATTTACAAAGTTAATAAAACAGAATTATAGAACCATAAAACTGAAATGTAGAAAACTAAATTAATGAACTGTATTCTCATTAGGAAATAATAGAATGAGTTGTCATAAAAACAGAGAAACAAGCAAAACCTATGCATTGAGTCAAGGAGATACAGCATTCAACATCCTAAACCGGAAACAATCTATTATTAATACACCTGCCTAAAAGATGAAGAAGGGGTGCAAGGCTTGTCAACAGATATAATCTGTTAACCCCTTAAACTTAAACCACTTTACCGCTTGTTAGAACAACCCTTGCAATGCAGTTTATAAAATATGATAAAATTTGATGACATAATTAAAATAAAATTTTTTTTCTTTAGTTTGACTATTATAACAATTATCCAAATGGCCAGTTGTTATATTTTTTACATTAAATATTTTTATTGCAAGTTTTGTTTTCTCTTTCTTATCTATTTAAATGAAAAAAAAAAAAAAAAGTTAAATAAAGAATTAAAACTTAACAGAAACTTGTGTAAAATTTGTAGTCAGTTTTATGACAAATTTTTTTAATCATACTTGTTTATATATTCTAGATTTTAGAATGCATTATATTAACTATGAACCTGTCAATTAAAATTGAGTTTGAAAACAGATATTTAATTAATATAATGTAAAAATTTAGTATCTCAATATTTTATCCATGATTTATACAATATCCATTTTTTAACACATTGCAAAACTCTTTGCTGAAAAGAAATCATTAAATAATAGAAACACATTTATTGTTGTTATGATGTGAAAAGTATTATATGTCGTTTAGTATTTCATAATATTTTAATACATAAATTGTACTTATTTTGTTTTTCTTAAAAAAAAGGAAAAAATTTTGAAACTTTTTAAATTTATAATGTTTTTGAAGATAACAAGAAAGTTTTGTCAAGTGTTGGCTTATACTTGGTAGTATCTTACATTATATTAAATTATCGAATCCTTTGACAGACAACTTTATCTCTTAATTTGAGTCACTACCACATTAAAACCACAAGTTTTTATCCTTTGTCTCATGTTGTTTCGTATTTGCCTAGGTACTAAGTAATATAGGTACCTCCATCTCTTTATTTCTGATTACCCCTGATTCTGATACCTTCTGATTCCTCTTTACCTCTGATTCTGATACCTCTATCTCCTGATTATATCTGATTCTGATACTTCCATCTCTTAATTCCTAATTACCACTGATTCTGATTGATATTTTGGTTTTAATTTTATATTTTTTCAAGGAAAACTAATAATTATATTTAAGACAAAAAGTTATATAATGACACATCTACAATCTTCAACTCAGTACAATTTTGAGGTATTGAGATCTTGCAACAGTTTTTTCAGTTTAGTTTAATAATAAATTAACAATTATTAAAATAACTGTTTAATTTAAAGTATTTTAACTTTTTGGTTGTTATTTGTAACTGTTTGTTAATTATTTTAATATTAGTTTTATACTAAAAAATAAAAAAAAATGTCCTCAGCTTACATAAAGTAACTTGATTAGATATATAAGCAGCCATTTTGTTTAGATACGTGCTCTAACTAGAGAAGGAAAAGGATTAAAGGATTAACAGCTTATTTGATAGGAACAACAAATACTCTTGGTATTTTTTGTTATAATTATTTTTTACATTAAACAAAACACATTAAGCATAATTTAATATTTTGAAAATGTATTTTTACATCTTGAATCCAGATTATAGGCACTAGACATTAGATAGGGCACAGGCTCTAGACATGGTATAGGGCACAGGCACAGACATAGTATAGGGCACAGGCACAAGGCAGGGTAAAGAAGACAAAAGCTTTGAAGTAAAAGTAATTTTTATTAATTCATTTAAACAAAAATCTCTATAAACTGATTTTTTTTGTTTTTGAAAAGATTAAAAACTAGAAGTTAAAATATTTGGAGAAACCTTGATGAAAAAAAAAAGAAATTGTGTTTTATTGATAGATGAAGTTTATGTAAAAGCAGCATTATTATATCAAAGTGGAAGTATTTTTGGAAAAGCTGTTAATAATCCAGAGAAATTAGCTACTACTGTACTTTCATTCATGGTAAAAAGCCTTTATGGTGGACCTGAATTTCTAGCAAGAGTTTTACCAGTTAGTAATCTGACATCAGATTTCCAACAAGAACAGTGCAAATTAATTGTAGACACCATAGAAAGTTCTATGAGTAATGGTAAAGTTGTTGCAATTATTACAGATGGAAATAAAGTTAATCAAAGCTTTTTTTCTAAATTCAAAACCTTTTCTTATGCACTTTAAAAAATGTCCATCTTTTAAAGTGCATAAGAAACAATTGGCTGACAGAAAAACTAGGTCAGTTACAGTTTACTCAAAATAAGATAACTTACATTGCAAATTGGAGAGATTTAGTTAACTTATATACACTTGAAAAAAACCAATTAATAAAGTTATCCAGATTGACTGATATCAACATATCATCATCATAACATCAATAAATCCTAAACCAATAGAACGGCAAAAAGTAAGCACTTGTTTACAAGTATTTAGTGAAGAGACAGTTGCAGCTCTAAAAACTCATCCTAAAATAGACCAAGAAAGTGTCAAGGGTACTATTATTTTTTTGGTTGATTATAGAATTTTGGAAAATAGTGAATGTTAAATGCCCAGGTGCCAATACTAGATTTAGGGATGAGTCACGTAATGTAATCAGATCTTCAGATGACATTAATTTAAAAAAGTTACTTGCTATTGTAACAATGGCAGAATATATGAAGCCAACATCTGGTAAATGAATTCGCCAGCTTACGAAAGATACAAGCAATGCACTTTCACACACTTGTCGTAGACTAATTGATTTGTCTTGTCATCTTTTATCAAGTGGAAATGAGTAGGTTATTTTAGGTTGGTTTTCTAGTGATCCAATTGAGAAATGTTTCGGAAAACTATGGCAAGGTTCTGGTGGTACTTACTTTATAACTGCTAAATCAGTTATCGAAAAAGTACATATTCAACATGCTAAGCTGGTGCTACAGCTGAATATCGAAGTAGAAGGAAATGATGGCCATGACTGTCTTTTATGTCTTAAAGATTTAGATGATATGGAAATTGATATAATTTACAATTTAGCAGATCTAGAAGATAGTATAAATATAGAAATTTTTTATGCTATTGCCTATATATTGCTGGTTATGTTCAAAAGTGTTCTACTAAATTGGTGAAGATACAACTACATATTATGAAAAATATGGAACTTATTTGAATACTTTAAATAGGGGAGGATTAACTATTCCATCTGATACTCTATCTGATCTCAGTGGTCTTTATTTTGTTACATATTTTTTTCTTTATTAGATAAAAAAGTTTGCAGAACATTTCTGATACGACAGTTTGCTTTTATTGCAGAGTTGTATAGTTTTTCTATTGCAAAGAAACAATGCCAAACACTAGCAAACAATTTTTTAAAGAACTTTGCATTACTTCACACTCCCAAAAGTAATAAAGAAGCAAAACTAAAAGAAATCAAGCTTATGTAAATTTTTTTTTGGGAAGATTTAGTACAAAAAAAATTAGATTTGTTATTGGTGTATTTTTCTGATTATTTATTATTTCTTGTATATTCAAAAATTTGATTTAAAATGTTTCTATTCAAATTTACAAACTATTTAAGCTTATAAAATAGTTGTCAAATTAACGTCAAGAAACTCATTTTATAAAAATGCATCCAAAATTTTTTCAAATAGAATAATTAGTTATTAAATAATTAGTGTTAGCAAAGCTGTACAGCATTTTTCTTGTTTAATAAACCACCATTTTATTTTTAAATCGGCCTTCAGTCAAAAAAATTCCCGCACGGTGTTGAGGCCTTCTATAAAGTAGGCCATGATATATATATATATATATATATATATATATATATATATATATATATATATATATATATATATATATATATATATACTTATATATACTTATATAGTTCTTGCAGATATAACTATATATGATATGTGATAACTGTATTGATATATATATATACTTATATAGTTTTTAATTACTGTGTGAGTCATAACTTTTAAGACATGAAAATCATCATTATAATGATGATTATCATGTCTGAAAACTGTAAATTAAAAACTATTGATAGAAGACTGCAAATTAAAAACTGTTGACAGAAGACTTTAAATTTAAAACTATTGATAGAAGGCTGCAAATTAAAAACTGTTGATAGGAAATTGTAAATGAAAAACTGTTGATAAAAGAATGTAAATTAAAAACTGTTGATAGTTTAAAAACTGTTAAGGACTGTAAATTAAAAACTGCTGATAGAAGTTGGTAAATTACATGAGTCAGGAAAACATGAAGAGATGTGTGATTTTGAAAGTACTGACGTAAAAAAAGGATTTATTTTATTTATGGTTTTAATAAAAGATCAGTAGTAAACAATAATCCAAAGAGGCTTATTGTAGAGGTCTCAATAAGAGTGTTACGCTAAAAGAATATAAATAATATCACAATAATTATTAACAGTAAAAAAACAAGTTTATAGAGTCTTGTTTTCTAGCGTGCTGGAAAACGGCATCTGTTATCCCCATTTTAGAAAATTCTGGAGAGCTATCTAACAAGTAATTAGCAGTCCGACAACCATCTCGTTAATCCTCTTTCTATCATAAGCAAAGTTCTTGAACCTTTAATTAACAAACACTTAATCTCTTATCTTGATTCTAATAACTTACTTTCTGATCATCAATAAAGGTTTTGATCTTTTCGTTTTACAGCTAATTTGCTAACAGTAATAATCCAATAATAAGGTTTTATTGTGCGTTAGATAAAGTATTTGATAAAGCTTTTGATTAAGTTTTGCATGCTGTTCTTCTCAATAACCTTTTTTCTTACAATGTATCAGGTAACATCTTTAAGATTTTTGAATCCTTTCATTCCATTCGTAATTTAAAAATAGTCCTTGATGGACAGCACTCTTATTCATATGCTTTTTTAGACAAGGTGCAAAAATAAATTGTAAACATAGTTGGACCTACTTTTGTAGCCAACCTTTAACCATTATCTCATTGTCGTAATGTTGCTTCTCTTTCTCTTTTTTACAAATATTATAATGGGCACTGCTCTAAAGAGCAAGTGATTCTTGTGTCATCTACTAAAATTCATTCTTGTGTTACTTTGTCATTTAGTTAAGTCTCACCCTTTTTTTGACCGTTCCTAAGTGCTATAAAATCTCTTATTCATCTAGTTTTTTTCCTCAAACATCAGTTTTTTGGAATTAGTTTTCTTCATCTTGCTTTCCTGGTTTATACAATTTGCAATCTTTTAAGTTGTTTGTCAATCATTATCTTGCTCTACAAACTTCATATTTTCTCTATTGAATGTTGTTCTTTTTTTAGCAAATGTTTTTCTTTCTCATATCAATATTTTTTGTTTATTACTTGTTTAAATATATATTTATTTATTTGATTTATGCTTTAGAATTAAATTTATATATAAATAAATAATTTTCAAAACAATTAAAGAACTACAACTATAAATTAACAGTTAAAAATTGGAATTTCAGGTAATATATAGAGGAATTGACCGCTGTTTTACTGCGCAAGCTCTTCATCCAACTAAAGTTTATAGCTTTACAGTAACTACATTTACTTATATTTGAAATTTGTTTTTAGTTTTAAAATGTTACACTGAAGGGAAAATATTAAATTTCAGGGTTCAACTTGGATGAGTGAGGGTAGATGCGAAAGTTTACCCAGAACACGTCGAATCAGCATGCAATGTAAGTTGTTTCAATATATCCCAATTTTAATAATAATATATAGCTAAAAAAGTATAATTTTTTTCAGTTTTAAAATCAGATTTGAATTCTCTGACTGTTTATTCTATTACTGTTTATTTTATTACGTGCTTTCGTTTAGCACCTCTTCACTTGATTATCTTTTTCTACCCACTTTTTGGTGTTCTTTCTAGTCAAATTAACCAAGTTTTTTTATTCTTTATTCATTTACCAATGTTGTTGTTATTGGTGACTTTTATATTTATTAAACTCATTGACTTGGCTCTAGACTTTGCAGGTCTTAAATCTAAAAATAAATTTTATTTAAACCTCTTGCCGAGAAGAAAGTTGTTAACTACAAACTGAAATGTGTTTAAAAAGTGTTTAAATACCTAAAAGTACCATCTACAGCAAGGATGGCCAAAGTCTTAATGACAAAGGGCAAAAAAAAATAATTACAAACATCTGTGTAAAAAGTAAATGATTACTACAGATGTAGTCTTTTTTATTTATATTTTCAATATTTTTCAATTCAAACAAAAACATCTTTTCAATTATCTTAGTATAATAACATCTGTGCACCTGGAGGTTTTCTCAGATGTTGTTACATCTTTTCAATTATGTTAAGGAAAACCACATCTACAACTACATCTGTAAATTCTGAAGAGGTAGTTACATTTTTTAAATTATATTAAAATTAGCTACATGATTTTATAGAATTTTTAAATTATGTGTTATATTAATCAGATGTAGTTACATATATGATTTTTTTCTAGATATAGTTACATTTGAAAAACTTATTAAATAAAAGTGCATTATTTTAACCAGATTTAGTTTCATATAAGTTTTTTTTTTCAGATGTAATTATATCTGTAAGAAATTCTTCCAGATGTTATTGGCCTTTGTGAAAAATTACCATATGTAGTTACTTCTATCTAAAGATGTTGTTAGGGATCGTTGCTTTTCCAGATGATATTGGACAGATGTTATTAGAGTAAAAAAAAAGTACAGATGATCTTGGACAAAATTGCACAGATGATCTTGGATTAGTCCATAGATGTTTTTGGACAGATGCATTAATCTTTTACCCAAATTTCTAGAATGCTTTCAGGAGAAATAGATGACAGAGAGCTTTTGATAATTTCTGTTACCAATAGCTCACCAGTTTATTTTTTAATCTTGTGTTATTTTGAATTTTTATGATCAGGGTTGGGATCAAATATGTATTTTTATTTAAAGTTTATTTATATTTGGTAGTTATGGGGTAAATTGGCGTATTTGTATTCGTGTTGCATTTGATTTTAAAATTTCTCAAAATTTTTTATTTGTATTTGATTGAAATGTATTTGTTACAGTGTTTTTCCCCAAAAAATCCCACCGTAAACAAGGTTGACTGGTGTTTATTTGGGAAAAACTAAGATAATTGTTTGTTTATTCTCTTCTTTTTTAACACTAAAATAAACTAAAGTTTATTCTCTGTTTGTTAATTCTCTTCTTTGTTAACACTAAAATAAAGTAAAGGATAATTTTTAAAGTTTTAAATTTAAATTGATATTTATAAAAGACTTGCTTTCATTTTTCTATTTAGCATACCATTTTATCAATATTGTATTAAAACAAATCTATATATTTTTTTATAACTAACTTTCAAATATTTGTATTTGTATTTGGAAAATGCCAATTACATATATTTGTACTTGAATTAGTTTTGGAAATCTGAAATTAAAGTATTTTTATTTGTGTTTGACCCTGTCTATGATTATTAATTTGGTGTTTAATTGCTGATTTCATTCTGATATAATGTAATTAATATAATTAATAATAGTAATTTTATAATTAAAATAATAAAAAGTTTTATTATTTTAAACTTCGAAATCTGCAAAGTCAAATAATTGTAAAAATCGATATGGCGGCTTTTTTTATAACTCTTGCGCGCTTTTTTTTATAACTAACTTATAATTAATTTTGTTGATTCTTGAGTCATGCACTTTTTTTGCAAACAAGGTTTTGTGGCATAAACGTATTAAATAATTTTGTGGCATAAACATTAGAAATAAAATTGCTATCCAGCTAAATCAGGAAGATCAGTTAAAAATAGTTGAAAACCAATTCCAAATCCATCAGAAATTTGATTAAAACAAACTGGATGAAAGCTAATTAAAAAACAGTTATCTCATGGCCGATAACATGGGTTTTAACACAATCGTCAATTTTAAAAAAAAATCATCTGTATATCGTCGGCTCGGGATGCAATTGTCGTATCGCAAATTTATTAAAGTTATATATAAATATTTAATTATCTAATATAAGTAAATTTAACATCATATATTAATGAAAAAGGTTTTTTTTAAAACGTATTAAATAATTTTGTGGCATAAACATTAGAAATAAAGTTTTATGATGGCTTCCATTGATCATTTTTATGTGATCATTTTTGTTTCCGATCTGCTTCAAATACAAATTTTGTAGGTTTATCAGGCCGCTATACAATAAGGGGTTGTTCATAAATTACGTCACGCAATTTTTTACCATTTTTTACCACTCCCTTCCCCCTCGTTACAACTTTAGTAACAAGTACGAGTCGTCACAAAACCACTAATCCTTTCCCCTCCCGCCCTCTCTTCCCTAAAGCATGACGCAATCTATTGATGACACCTAAGGTGAAAATATGTTATTAAGTTGTTGTTTTTTTTTCTAAAATAAATGAAGAATTTTTCCAGATGTATTTAAATCTGAAAAAATTTCTATATGTAATAACATCTGGTTTAAATAATGCATAAGTAGTTGATTGATTTTGAAAATAACATCATCTTAAAATCTGAAAATGTAGTTGCACATATATTAATACACATTGATTATTTAAAAGATGTAACTACATCTGTAAAATCCAAAAATGTTGTTGCACAGATATTATTACACTTAGATATTTTAAAAGATGTAACTACATCTGTATTTCATTTAATTTTTGGTCAGATGTTGTCAGACATCAATGAAACTTCAGATTTTGTTGGGCAAATGTTATTATACCTCATTATATTTACAGATGTTGTTGGACAGATGTTATTAGACATGGCAAAAAAACTGATCTTGTTACCCTGACCCTTATGTCGGATTTATTAATGACTTATTAAAATTTTGTTATTAAAAAAGTTTGGAAATAAAATAATAAAATTAATTTTTTTTTTTTTTGTAGCTACATCATCGTCTGTTTCAAAAAGAAGAATCTCTCTCAATAAGTAATTTGAATCGCGGTTCAACGAATTGTTAGTATGCGACTAAATGTAACTAGTAAAGTTAAAAAATTTAAAGTAAAAATTATAAGTAAAAATAAAAATGACAAAAGTGCAATTGTTAAATATATGTAAATAATATTTACAGTTATTTATATAAAGTTTAATTTTTCACAAAAGTTTTTTTTGCAAGATGGTATGTTGCAACTTTAAAATGTTTCAAGGATGGTGATGAAATTCCAGCAAAAAAAAACAGAGAGAAAAAAAGAGGTTAGTTCCCAAAAATTTATAAAACTTATTCGTTACAGACGCTATCCAGCTAAATCAGGAAGATCAGTTAAAAATAGTTGAAAACCAATTCCAAATCCATCAGAAATTTGATTAAAACAAACTGGATGAAAGCTAATTAAAAAACAGTTATCTCATGGCCGATAACATGGGTTTTAACACAATCTTCAATTTTAAAAAAAAATCATCTGTATATCGTCGGCTCGGGATGCAATTGTCGTATCGCAAATTTATTAAAGTTATATATAAATATTTAATTATCTAATATAAGTAAATTTAACATCATATATTAATGAAAAAGGTTTTTTTTAAAACGTATTAAATAATTTTTTACATTTACGTAATTTTAAACTTACATTAATTACGTTATTACATATTTATATATAATTTTAATAATTTTGCGATACGACAATTGCATCACGAGCCGACGATATCTAAAATTTTTTTTAATAATAAAACAGTTTGAGGCGGTGTCGTCGGCTCTGTTATCTGCTGGTCCGACATTCAGAAATAAGCATTAGCGTGTTAAGAGACAAAAAATGATAAAGAAACGGTACCACCGACAACTTTTTCTAATGAAAAGTTAATCCTGCTTGAGCGCCCTATTAACAGAAAAAATGATTGAGTTTATAGAATTGTTGTTACTGAAACACGTTTAGAAAAAAAAATTCACTCAATTCATTCGATTATCATTGACAACTACAATAATGAGCATACACCAACTGAATCCTCCTGTAGAGGTACATTGTTATACTTGTCAAAAAAAGTTAATATACAAACGAAGAGATAATTTGATGATTTATTCACCTAATTTTATTAGAATCCACTTTTGTTGAATTAATTTTTTCCAAAAAATCCAATATTATTGTTGGGTGCATTTATAGGCCTTGCATGGACATAAATATTTTCAATAATATAATGTCTGCATTACTTCTAAAAATATCTGCAAAAAATAAATCTGTTTTTTTATTTGTTGATTTTAATATAGATTAGATACAATCAAGTAATAACATTGCGACCTGTGATTTTGATGAGCAACCGTGGCGCAGTGGAAACACACTTGCCTCAGAAAAAAAGATTCCGTGGTTCAAACCCCACCTCTGGGCAAGTTTAGCGACATCGGTTGGGAAGGAGGCGTGAACTTCCTATAAAATGCTCATCCGCGGTGCTCTGTGATAAGACCGCAAGGACTTATTGGAGCACCTAAAATTAAAAAAATTAAAAAAATTTTAAACTTACTTTCTATTTATAATATTCGCTCTTTTATTACTTTGCCACGAATTACTGAACACTCTGCTACAATCATTGACAATATTTTTTCTAATTTAATAACTAATGTTATTATTTCTGGAAATTTGACAACTGCTGTCTCTGACCACCTACCTCAATTTTGTGTTTGTCCCAATTTCAACAAATTATTTATACCACGGAGTCACAAAATATATCGTGGAAATTTTAAAAACTTTGATAAAGAAAAATATAGAT